CCTGAGCTTTGTTGGCAAGCACCTTTTCAGCAATTGGGCTATCCCAGCTTGACTGTTTGTGAGCCAGTGCTGCACTAGGGTTTGGTGCTGGAGCAGCAAGAGTCTCCCATTCGGTGATGGCACTGACATAGCTAGGGTCTTCTATTCCTGCTGAGTCACTGAGGGTGTCAGGAAGAATTTGTCTTATCAACTTGTTTGATGCAATGGAAAAGGATAGGAAAGCTGGTAGAGCAATCTGGGAGGATCTGCGTACTCCTAGCCCTCCAAGCCTGACCGGGAAATGAGGCTTGCAACCACTGTACATCGTCAAGGGAAAGATTCAATACACTCTCTAGCATGGCCTTCAGGAGAGAGTCATATTCCTTGAGTTTTGGACTGCTGAAGGCTGGGGGCATCTCAGAAAATATGGTAAGTTTTGGGGTTGACAGGCACCTGGTGAGTAGGTAGAAGGCATCGTGTGTGTCAATGTCTTTCATCCTGCTTTCCATCGTCCGGAGGTCTGAGACTTTTTTTCCTAGGATCAGATCGATGGCATTGGACCCAAGAGGAGCACCGAGGAGAGTGCTATTGGCTGGATCAATGGCTCGTGCTCCTGGTAAAACGGTACTAATATTCTGGATCAACTGTTGATTGGTAGAAACTATTTCACATTTAGTGGGGTTTATAAAGGGCTTGTTTGGTAGCTGTAGAGCGGGTAGTTAAATGATATACTTCTTCGGAGGCTTCTTAGTTTATTGTTAAGTAGTGGTGGGTTACACAGGCTTGTGTGTTTGTGCCCATGGCCCGGGCAGGGCCATGCCCACGAGAGAGAGATGAGAGTACTTGTGTGTTGAAGCCAGGCCGCTGTGTGAGTGAGGCAAGTCTGGGCATACTGAAATATAAAGGACTTGTTTGGTAGCTGTAGAGCGGGTAGTTAAATGATATACTTCTTCGGAGGCTTCTTACTTTATTGTTAAGTAGTGGTGGGTTACACAGGCTTGTGTGTTTGTGCCCATGGCCCGGGCAGGGCCATGCCCACGAGAGAGAGATGAGAGTACTTGTGTGTTGAAGCCAGGCCGCTGTGTGAGTGAGAGCGAGGCGCCTGTGTAACCCACCACTACTTAACAATAAAGTAAGAAGCCTCCGAAGAAGTATATCATTTAACTACCCGCTCTACAGCTACCAAACAAGTCCTTTATATTGGTGACAGCGGTGGGATACTGTAGCGTGAGACGCTGCCACCAATATAAAGGGCTTGTTTGGTAGCTGTAGAGCGGGTAGTTAAATGATATACTTCTTCGGAGGCTTCTTAGTTTATTGTTAAGTAGTGGTGGGTTACACAGGCTTGTGTGTTTGTGCCCATGGCCCGGGCAGGGCCATGCCCACGAGAGAGAGATGAGAGTACTTGTGTGTTGAAGCCAGGCCGCTGTGTGAGTGAGGCAAGTCTGGGCATACTGAAGTGGCAAGGCCTATAGATGGCAGCACTTGAGTGGCGCGAAATATGAACTAAGCTGGCAGACAGCATGGGCTGTCTGTGCAGACAGTACAGGCTGTCTACAGGTTTAAAGAAAGGCCCAGGCTTTCTCCCATGTCTTTAATTTTACTGATGTCCTCCAGGAGAGATTCTGTTGTGCCAGCTAGGGTACCGTCGTCCAGGAACCAGATATTGAGCTCGCTGGAGAGTGCCTCCGTGACTTCCTTGATGACCAAACAAAATAGAAAGGGGGCGAGAGGGTCCCCCTGTTGCACGCCCTCACACGAGTCAATTTCATGGTCCCCAAACAATAGTTTGGAAGTCACACTATAACACGATTCTATGAAGGATAAAGGGAAGGGAAGTTTCTATTAACTGCTTGGAGAGCGCATCCCTTCTGACTGAGTTGAAAGCATTGGCAAAGTCCATTTGACCAAGGCTTTTTCATAGGACATGTTTTTGATATATACTCGTGCTGCGTGGGCAGCTGCTTCACAGCCCTGTTGAACGCCGAAACCGAGCTGAGTTGGTTTCAGCATTGCAGCAGCCTCTTGACTCACCCTTCTTACTGCAGCCTTGGCGACTAGGCGCCGAAGGGTGTTACCCACTGCAATGGGCCTGATTCCGCCATCCTTTTTCCGGAGGGCACACAATGAGGCACCAAAGAAAAAGGGTCTGATGGCCTCTGGGACACCGCCAGCCAGGCACAGGTTGGAAAATTTGGTGAGTTCAGACAGCAGCCTCTCTGAAACCTCACCAAGTGCTGGATTGAGTATTTGTTTTAAGTGTTGAGGCCTTAAACCGGTGAAACCTCCTGCTGAACCCTGTGGAAATGACATAGCAGCTTTATACACATCAGCATCCTGTAAGGTTAGATGTTCTTCGCCTGCTGCAATGTCAGGGAGGTAAATGTTGGTACTGGGAGCCCTGTGTGTGTGTGTATGTGTGTGTGTGTGTATGTGTGTGTGTGTGTATGTGTGTGTGTGTGTATGTGTGTGTGTGTGTGTGTGTGTGTGTGTGTGTGTGTGTGTGTGTGTGTGTGTGTGTGTGTGTGTGTATGTATATGTATGTAAGTACATATATATGTATGTATGTATGTGTGTGTGTGTGTGTGTGTGTTTGTGATCGGGGGTTCTATTGTCGTCCAGTCGCAGTGTTGTGAGTTGCTTAAAATCACTCGTTCGTGTGTACTCACCTATTTGTATTCACCTATTTGTGGTTGCAGGGGTCGATTCACAGCTCCTGGCCCCGCCTCTTCGCTGATTGCTACTAGGTCCTCTCTCTCCCTGCCCCATGAGCTCTACCATACCTCGCCTTAAAACTATGTATGGTTCCTGCCTCCACTACGTCACTTTCTAGGCTATTCCACGGCCTGACTACTCTATGACTGAAGAAATACTTCCTAACATCCCTTTGATTCATCTGAGTCTTCAACTTCCAATTGTGACCTCTTGTGTCTGTGTCCCTTCTCTGGAACACCCCGTCTTTGTCCACCTTGTCTATTCTCTGCAGTATTTTATATGTCGTTATCATGTCTCCCCTGACCCTCCTGTCCTCCAGTGTCGTCAGGCTGATTTCCCTCAACCTTTCTTCGTAGGACAATCCCCGTAGCTCTGGGACTAGTCTTGTTGCAAACCTTTGCACTTTCTCTAATTTCTTGACGTGCTTGACTAGGTGTGGATTCCAAACTGGTGCTGCATACTCCAGTATGGGCCTGACGTAAATGGTATACAGAGTCTTAAACGAATCCTTACTGAGGTATCGGAACGCTATCCGTAGGTTTGCCAGGCGCCCGTATGCTGCAGCAGTTATCTGATTGATGTGCGCCTCAGGAGATATGCTCGGTGTTATACTCACCTCCTGTTCTTTTTCCTTGAGTGAGGTTTGCAGTCTTTTGCCATCTAAACTATATTGTGCCTGCGGTCTTCTTTGCCCTTCCCCAATCTTCATGACTTTGCATTTGGCAGGGTTAAATTCAAGGAGCCAGTTGCTGGACCAGGCTTGTAGCCTGTCCAGATCTCTTTGTAGTCCTGCCTGATCCTCATCCGATTTGATTCTTCTCATTAACTTCGCATCATCTGCAAACAAGGACACTTCTGAGTCTATCCCTTCCGTTATGTTGTTCACATATACCAAGAACAGCACAGGTCCTAGGACTGACCCCTGTGGAACCCCGCTTGTCACAGGCGCCCACTCTGACTCCTCGTCGCGTACCATGACTGGTTGTTGCCTCCCTGTCAGATATTCTCTGATCCATTGCAGTGCCTTTCCTGTTATGTGTGCCTGATCCTCTAGCTTTTGCAGTAACCTCTTGTGAGGAACTGTGTCGAAGGCCTTCTTGCAGTCCAAAAATATGCAGTCGATCCACCCTTCTCTCTCTTGTCTTACTTCTGTCACCTTGTCATAAAACTCTAGTAGGTTTGTGACACAGGATTTTCCTTCCCTGAAACCGTGCTGGTTGTGTGTGTGTATATGTGTGTGTTTGATACCTGATAAGTCAAATTTGCCGAATTGGCCGAACCTCCTTAAAAATTGGACTTTTCCTCAATGATTTTTTACTGATATATTTTTTCAGTAACAACAGCGTAAAATAATTACTTTTAGACAAAACCTAACTTAATTAATTTTTTTTCAGCTAAATTCTCTCACATTTATCATAGGTTAGTTTAAATTTATTTAACATTGTTTGAAATCAATGATATTTATTTTTTGTTTTGTTCATATTCATTTACGCATATTTCCTCTCTGCTTATTCGGCACAAAACATCCTTGTCATTTTGGCCTAACTCGTCTAAATTTATTTGGAACCAAACCTAACTTGGAAATCTCACCTAACCTAAATTAATTCAAAGTAATTTTTTTAACTAAATTCTGTTATATTCATCATGATCGGAACAACTTAAAATAGGCCTCTGGAATGTGCAAGGGAAAGTATGCACTTAAGAGAGGCCTCCCAGATGTGTAATGAAGAGGATTCCCCTTTTTAAGAGAAGTCTCCGAGATTTGAAATCTTAAGATGGTTAAGGAAAATGATACATTCACTTAAGAGAGGCCTCTGGGATATGGCTGTCACTTAGGAGTGGCCTCCGGTTTGTGTATAGAAGAAGATGCACTTATAAAGTGCTTTGGCATAAGTAAGAAAAAATTAACAAACCGCAGAACCGTGACTCGACTGTGTCAGAGAGGCCATCTGTGACCCTATTGTCTCGTCCCACGTCTCTTTAAGCCAGATAGTCTATAAACCCGGGATAAACCGTGATGAATGATTGCCAATCATGATGGTGAAGGAAGTAAATATACTTTATTGAACGGCCTCTGAGATATATAAGAAATAGGATACACTCTAGAGGTCGCATGGATTTATAAAGAAGAAGATACACTTACATGTACTACTTAGAGGTACAGGGTAGGTGATACACTTATGAGGTCTCCTGGATGTAATACGAAGTGGATACACTTACTTAAGTGATGCCTCTGAGATTTATTTTTGAAAAGGGTGTACTTACTTTCAAGAGACATCCAGGATGTGCAAGAAAAAGGTACTTACTTATAAGAGGAGTCTTCTCGGTAGGTGGTAGAGATTCGCGGATAGTCATTAGGAAGACCGTCATTGAAAGCAGCGCTGAGATGCCCAGTGTCACCTTCTCCCCAGACTCACTGGGCACGTAGAACACCAGCAGCGCTGCCAGGGTGGTGGAGAGGTGATGATGAAGTGCTGGTGATGGTGGGGTGGTGGTGATGATAGTGTGTTGATGATGGAGTGTTGGTGACGGTGGGGTGGCGATGATGGTGGGGTGCTGGTGATGGTATCATAGTGAGTATGGTGTGTTGATGATGGTGTGTTGCTCAAGGTGTGCTGTTTGTATGACAGCAGAGATTTACAAACTGGAGTTGAAAGTGTCGTGAAGCAGTTGGAAGCCTGCTAATGGAAATATGTTATGTTAAACAGTTGTTACCAGTGAAGAACCAAGAAGCCATATGATGCTGAGTAAGACTAGCATACAATTATTGGTTAAAGACAACTAGACGCATTGAAATTGTTTTTCTATGCATGTAAATTTTAGCAATAAAGCTTTGAAGCTAATCAGAAGAAGCATTCACAAGCTATCATATGGAAACTAACGTTATTTTTTTCACTAAAAATGGTATACTAGTACATACGTAACCTATACCTATTCAAACATTCCATTAGGAAACACCAGCACATTAAGCTTGAAGCCACCTAGAAGTTTCCTAATCAGATTCTCAGCAACGAAGGGTTTCAAATAATCAGTTGCGACTCTCAGCTTACCGAATGAAAAGCAGTATTCCAATTTTCCGTAATTTGTTCCAAGAAAAGTGAATTTGAAACTACACCAGACAAAGTTTATCCAAAAATTTCTCTGAGTAAATTAACGCTTTTTTGTTTTTTACATAACGTAAATATGGGTTTTAAGCACATAAAGGCACATTACGGAGCTTTTTGCTAGGATAGCCAGGCAAAGTCAAACACTGTGACTAATTTCTGATCAGGTGATACATTCTTCAGTTACTTTACATAAACCACATAAGACCTACACAATTTAAAATCAAGAGAAAACTGCCTCTGAGGAAAATAAATCAGAAGTAAAAGTTTAAATCCAGCAAATTTTTTATTGTATTATTGCTCAGAACACAGCAAAGCTTGCACCTACACAACCAATACCTCAGAACAGTTTCAGATATTTTATACGAGGCATCAGCCAATACAAAGTGATGCCGTTAACACGTTTTATTTAGTCAGGGATCAAATAGCTTCTGTGGAATGGGGAATATTCAGATTCGATTCAACCAGAGGAAGGATAAGTTCGGTTCCTTGGATCACGAGTCCCTCACCAGGATCGACGAACCACTCTTCAGGAAGCATGATCAATTATATAATGCAAAATATTATTCTACTTTTTCGGAATTAAAATTGGTAAAATGGCAGCTGCACACTCCACTCTTCTTAATAGGATACATGACTATTAAACTTATGAAGTCGATCAAAATAGGCTTTCTAAAGTTATATAAAAACTAATTTCGGGAATGACCTGCATAAAATTGAAGAGATGTCACCTGCAGTTGTCAATTGTTCCACGAGCTTTTTAACGTACGGTAGTAATACTTGACCAGGGTTAAAACATAACCTGAAGTCGAACGGATAAAGTATCTGAAGTTATACACGAAAACTTGGAGCAAGTTAATGCTACAAGAGAACAGTGTACCATATAAAGATCTAGCTCTGGCACAGTTCCAAAGATTCCCTAAACATATGGAAACAAAAACCGTTAATTTTCAGTATTTGTCAATATTCTTTTTTTTTTTTTTTTTTTGAAGTTCTGTTCTATTTAAAATTATGTACATTCCTCTACATAAACATTTTATTTGATTTTTTAAAGACACCCATTGTTAATAAATATGTTTTATAAATTAGCAAACTGGTATATACAAAGCTCATATTTCATGGGGAAAAAAAAAACTTCCAATTAACATATAAGAGAGTGTAAGTTTGCGACGCTGAAGAGAAGTCAGTTTATATAAGAAAGTTGGAAATGTAATTATTGTAAAGCTCAAATTGAAAACCAAACATTATTTCCATAAATCCCATCATCGGAGAAGGAATTCTCCACTAAATGCTCTGAATTCAAAAATTTCTATTGTTTTTAAATTTCAAATGTACTCCTAAAGAATCTAAACGTTTAGGTTGTCTTACTTCGTAGGTAATGCATCACTGCTATTATTTCGAAGCCAATAAGACAAGGCATTCATTAGTTATTGAATGAAAATAAAATTCCTTAATAAAATAGGTAAATGGCTGGTTGCACAGACTAAAAACAAAGTGGCCCTTGCTTTCTGGAAACCCCCACCAGGGCTGAAGTTTGAAACAATTTAAGAGGCTTTGTCCAGGTATCGCATGGAATCCAGCAGTTAAAAGTTTTATAAAGAGAACGAGTGCTTTAACAAATTTGCCCACATAAGTGTTGAACTTAATTCATATTATCCTGACTGTAAGATGTACTGTATCAGTCATTATATATTAAAGCCATTTAGAAAGGGCGAATACAAATTTATTTAACGTGACTGATCGGGAATAAAAAATTCACTCTTTTTCAGAAAAAAAAATTGGTTCACTATTACATACGCACTTGAATTTCACTCTCGTCCCTCGTTGAATTAGGAGACACTGCTTTTAATGTGTGATAATACACCGCAAAGGGTCAAGAAGTTATCAGAGCCCTATACGAATGGTGCCAATGGGTCTTACATATTTTGGTCATAGGACATCTGCAGATATCAAATGTCCCTAGGATCATGGGAGAGTTACCTACACCAGCCCTGAAAAATTGGGGCCGATTGACTTATGTTATGAGAGAAATAAACGAAATGTTTAAAGAAAAACATAAAAAATATTTTTTGCAATCACTTAAAGGTCCTCCGTTGGGGGATACCTTATTACCTTTGTACTTCTCTATTTTAATTTTGGAAACTTCTGAATTCGACTGATGAAACCTACTGTGCAAGTGAAGCCTATCAACAAAGCCGAATTTCGGTCCAAGCGTTATCTGAGGAAGGTGTCCAAGTACTACGTAACTCGAGTCTTCAGTCAAAACGATTAGGATAGTGGGACAAAATTTGCACAACTGCACCTAATGTAACATTTTATTGTGTCACGTTAGTTGTGCTTGTGTCCTTTTACCTTACAATTTGTCGGTAATTTTACCAACATTAATTTGCAATGCAGTTAAAATAAATAATGAACAATTGAAACGAATCAAAAGAATCAGTCAGATGCCATCATATGTAAACTAATATCCTGATTTGTTCAATAAAATTGGTAAATTAGGAAAAACACTGTTCGCATTAAAAATTAAATATTACAAAGAAACTAGACATTATATTATCCTTTTATCAGCGTTGAAGGATAGAAGTTAATTGGATTCAACACTCAAAGATTATCACACGAAAATATTTAAAATAAAATCTCCAAAATTATTCTTTAAAGAAAAACGTAAGAGGGACGTACATACACCGGATAAAATCAGTCAAAGCTTTTCTCTAATTAAGGCTGACGAACGTTTAAGCAGTTAATTAAACGAGTAAAAAAATACATATATTAGTAAATAAGTAATAAGTGAACGTTTAAGCAGTTAATTAAACGAGTAAAAAAATACATATATTAGTAAATAAGTAATAAGTTACGTTTTAATCTTTGGGAACATAAAAAAAAAAAACTTTTACAAAGGTTTCTAAAGCATTCAAATGTCATAGGCGCATTCAAATACATTATGTAGTCTCTCATACGATAAGTTAACAAAGTCTAATATTGTGACTTGTTTTTCATCAGAAGAAACTTTATCCAGTTGTCTCAAAGATTCCATCAAACTAATTTACTACATTGACAAATATGCCCGAACACAAACTAAAGTTAATAGATACAAGTGAATACTGAAGCCAGTGAAAGGAGGTACACGCAATTATATGTAAGGTGACTCAAGGAAATAAAAATTTCTATTTTGCAAATATTATTTCACTCTTTGCCCTCGTCGAGTTAGTTGTCTCTTCTTAATATTTGAAGCTATGCCAAATTCCAGGATGCTGGAAGTGTGTTCAACATGTTGGTTATAGGTCACCTGCATATGCTAATTGTTCATAAAATTTTGCATTTAGGAGTGATACACCGTCCCCCAAACTTAGATAGGGACCAAGGGAAACTACTATGGGAGGAAATTGTTAAAGCCACAAGGCACGATAATGTAGTAATTCTAGGAGACTAACTTTAGTCATGTTGATTGGAATTTCTTGACTTGGAATTTAGAATCATACGACTTCTTAGAAGTATTTCAGGATTGTTTTTTGAAGCATTTTGTGACAGAACCTACAAGGGGAAATAACCTGCTTGACTTAGTTCTGGCAAACAATGAATCCCTTGTTAATAATTTAGAAATTTCAGAGGAACTGGGTGCTAGCGACCACAAATCAATTACATTTAGCATTGAATGGAAGTACGATAGTAACGATAACTCAGTAACAGTCCCAGATTTTCGCTTAGCAGATTACGATGGGCTTAGAGAACACTTATCATCTGTTGACTGGGGTAACGAAGAGAGCTATCAATATAGACAGTTTTCTGAACACTATACATGCTGCTCAAAGAGCGTTTATCCCATATAAAGAAATTAGATCAATAGAAATGACCCAAAATGGATGAATAATAGGCTCAAATATCTACTAGGGCATAAGAAAGGAATTTATAGGCGTATCAAAAGAGGTGGAGGGTCATCTTATGAATCAGTATATTGACATTAAGAGGGACATTAAAAGGATAAGAAAAGCTAAAAGGACTATGAAATTAATAGTTGCTAGGGATTCTAAAACTAACCCAAAAAGTTTTTCCAGGTCTATAGAACAAAAGTTAGAGATAAGATAGGTCCCCTTAAAAATAACTATGGGCACCTTACTGACAAGAGAATGAAATGTGCTTGATTTTAAATAATTATTTTCTCTCAGTTTTTACACAGGAAGACACTAACAATATTCCAGTAATTAATTTTTACAGTGGGCTAGAAGAAAATTATGTAACATCACAGTCACTAGTGAGATGGTTGTGAAGCAGATAAACAGACTGAAGCAAAATAAGTCGCCGGGTCCTGATGAGGTTTTTTCAAGGGTTCTTAAGGAATGCAAAATGGAACTCTGTGAACCATTAACTAATATTTTTAATTTATCTCTTCAAACAGGTGTAGTGTCTGATATGTGGAAGATGGCTAAAGTAATTCCTATTTTTAAAACAGGGGACAAGTCGTTACCGTCAAATTACCGCCCAATAAGCCTGACCTCAATTGTAGGCAAATTACTAGAGTCAATTATAGCTGAGATTATAAGAAGCCATCTCGATAAGCATAGCTTGATTAATGATACTCAGCATGGATTCACAAGAGGCCGGTCTTGTCTAACTAATTTATTAACTTTCTTCAGTAAAGCTTTTGAGGCTGTTGACCACAATAAAGAATTTGATATTATTTACTTAGATTTTAGTAAGGCTTTTGATAGAGTTCCGCACCATAGACTGTTAAAGAAAGTGGCAGCTCATGGCATTGGGGAAAAGTGCTCTCGTGGATCGAGTCATGGCTCACTGACAGGAAGCAGAGAGTGTCCATAAATGGGATTTAAATCCGAGTGGGGATCTGTAACAAGTGGCGTTCCACAGGGATCAGTCTTGGGCCCGTTGTTGTTTATAATATATATCAATGATCTTGATGAGGGAATTACTAGTGATATGAGCAAATTCGCCGATGACACAAAGATAGGTAGGATAATTGATTCAAACGTAGATGTTATGGAACTTCAGGAGGATATTAAACAAACTCTATTTCTTGGTCAGAAAAGTGGCAGATGCAGTTCAATGTAGATAAATGCAAGGTTCTGAAGCTTGGGAGTGCCCATAACCCTAGTACTTGTAAGTAAAATGATGTAGAACTTAGCCATACAGATTGCGAAAAGGACTTGGGGGTTATGGTGAGCAGCAACCTTAAACCAAGACAGCAATGCCTAAGCGTACGTAATAATGCAAATAGATTACTGGGATTTATATCAAAAGTGTAAGCAACAGAAGTCCAGAGGTCATACTGCAGCTTTATACATCATTAGTAAGGCCTCACCTAGATTATGCAGCTCAGTTCTGGTCTCCGTATTACAAAATGGACATAAATTCGTTAGAAAACATTCAGCGTAGGATGACTAAATTAATACATAGCATTAGAAATCTTCCTTATTGAAGGAAAGATTGAAGACTCTTAAGTTACATTCACTTGTTAGACGAAGAATGAGGGGAGACCTGATCGAAGTGTATGGGCCAGTAGGCCTTCTGCAGTGTTCCTTCGTTCTTATGTTCTTATGTTCTTAAGTGGAAGATAGGTATTAATAAAGGGGATATTAATAAGGTCTTGAGGATGTCTCCAAGAGAGAACCCGCAGTAATGGATTTAAATTAGATAAGTTTAGATTTAGAAAGGACATAGGAAAGTATTGGTTTGGAAATAGGGTAGTTGATGAGTGGAACAGTCTACCTAGTTGGGTTATTGAGGCTGGGACTTTGGGTAGTTTCAAATCTAGGTTGGATAAGTACATGAGTGGGAGGGGTTGGATTTGAGTGGGACTTTCACATCAGAGCTTATTTCTTGGGTGGCATTGAAAATTGGGTTGGGCAAATGTTTTGTTAGTGGGATGAATTGTAAAGGACCTGCCTAGTATGGGCCAGCAGGCCTCCTGCAGTGTTCCTCCTTTCTTATGTTCTTATCAGCTTTAAATTTCCCTGATGATAAATTAGACACATGTGCAACTCTTGGGTATCTTTATTAAGGAAACGTTTCGCCACACAGTGGCTTCATCAGTCCATACAAAGGAGAATCTTTAAGAACAGGAGGAGAATGAGGTAATCAGTCCCTCAACCTTGAGTCGATGTGGTCAGTCCATCATCTTGAATAGAATTCTATTCAAGATTGATGGACTGACCACATCGACTCAAGGTTGAGGGACTGATTACCTCATTCTCCTCCTGTTCTTCAAGATTCTCCTTTGTATGGACTGATGAAGCCACTGTGTGGCGAAACGTTTCCTTAATAAAGATACCCAAGAGTTGCACATGTGTCTAGTTTATCAACATGTCGGTTCTCTGAACCTTTCATCTACAAACTTAAATTTCCCTGCTGGCGTATTGTATACACCAGCCGCTCCGATAAAGTCTTCTCTTGTTATGAGGAAAATTTAAGTGAAAAGTTAGGAAAAAAATGGAAACCACTTACAGTTGTCTCTTCAGGAACACCTTGTAAATATACCTCCATATTCTACAGATATCTTACTTATCAGCATATCGGTGTACACTGATATGTGGTGTACTACACCTCCTTCACAACCTCAGAAACAGGAAAGAGCTTAAGAAAAGAGTCACAACGCAGCTGTTCCACCATTAGACGCTTTTTTTTGATACGTTTCTGACACAGTAACGACACGGTATCTCTTGGTCGATGGCCTGAAAACCTTTTATCTTACGGCCCGAAAACGTTCTCGTGGGTCAATGACCTGAAAACCTTATAACAGCCCTAAGGGACTGATCACTTCAAATTACCTTCTAACTTCTACTGTTTCCAGTCGCCTGCATTCGACTGAAGAAACTTGCTGCGGAGGCAGAAAGTCGGACAGTAAAGATTTTTAAATGTTATATGTGAATCTTACTCACTGGTGATGGTGTTGATGACGGTATGTTGATGGCAGTTTATTAATGATGATATGCTGATGGAGTGTTAATGACGGTGTGGTGGTGATAGCAAGTTGATGACGCAGTGGTGGTCATTGATGGTGATGATGAAGGCGTGTTGAAGACGTTGTAGATAAGTGACAATAGGGTGGTAATTGTGTGTTATTGATGGAATGTTGATGATGGCATGTGGATAATGATGTATTTATGGTGATTTAATGATTGTGTATTGATGATAATGTAATGATGATGGCCAGTTGATGATTGTGTTGTTGATAGTGCATTAATGGTGGTTAGCTGATGATCCTATTGTGGTACTACAGTGGTGGTGATACAGTGCTTCTGATGCAGTGGTGGTGATGCAGTGGTGGTGATACTACAGTGGTGGTGATTTGGTGATACAGTGGTAATGATGTGGTGATGATGCAGTGGTAGTCATACACTAATAGTGATAAACTAGTAGTGATGCAACAAAGATAGTGATGAATGATGATGATGCAATGGAGTTGATGTAGAGGTGGTGATACAGTGATGATGACTCGTCACCACTGCATCACCACGACTGCAGTGGCGGTGATACAGTGGTAGTAAAACAGTGGTAGTGATATAGTGGTGGTGTTGTAACGAAGGCGGAGATGAAACAATGGTGGTGATGCAGTCATGGTGATACAGTGATGGTGATACAGTGGTGATGATGTAGTGGTGGTGATGGTGTGATGACGATACAGTTGTGGCGATGCAATGGTGACGATGCATTGGTGGCGATTCAGTACTTGTAAGAACAAATAAATAATAACAATATTATCAACAATAACAGTTGTTATCAGTTAATAATCAAAAGATCCCCATTTTCCTTCATGCTGAGAGGAACTCAGTACAAATTTCGGATTATATTTCATAAATAAATAAAGTCCGCTCTCAGTATATCCTCTACAGTATTGTTATTAATCAGTTGAAGATTATCAAGACTATTGTTTATGTTGTCTTAAAGGCAACCTTCAAAACAATAACTACAGAGAAATATTTACTGGAACAATTTGGAGACAGAGATTAAGCGAAAAAGGTAATTTGTGGCGAAGAATTGTAGCAGTAATATAGCTTAGTATTCAGTAAGACACTCACTATACTGTCGTCTCGCCGTTATTGCTCTGGAAAATCCTATAACTATGAACAGTATTACTCTTTGAATACAAATGCACAGTGTACATGCTTAAAAAGAATCATCAGTGTTTTTTCGTCGTAATCGGACTTGAAACATTCTTCTACTCGTAATTGCTCTGAAACTCTACTATCCTTGAATATTTACTGAGCGATTTTAAAAAAAATAATCATTGAAATTTATTGATGGTGGAACATCCTTGCCTTTGGACTCTCCTGGTGTTTGCAAGATTCTTGTCAGTGAAAATTCCTAGATCTTTATTTATGGAATGTTACTGTTCTTTGAATCCGATTTTTTCTTTAACTGTCTTTGAGAATTTTTAGAAGTTCTTTGTTGTAAATATTCATTGACATTAAAATACTCAAACCATTTATGGATACTTTGGGTTCCAGCTTCCTCAACCTTGGAACATCTTACGACAGAGGTTGAGTGAAAAGGAGGGAGAGCTAGACAAAGTATTGACAAAGGTGAGTGAAGTTGGAGAACTGCACTGGAGGGGAGGGAGAGGGAAGGTGAGGCAGAGTGCTAGTGAGGGGAAGCAAAGGTAATAGAGTGATGGTGAGAAGAGGGAAAGGTAACAGAATGCAGGTGAGGGGAATGAAGGGGTATAGAGTGTTGGTGAGAATGATGAAAGGAAATGAAGTGTTCGTGAGGGAGAGTGAACGTGGTTCAGTGTTAATAAGAGAAAAAGAATGATGCAAAGTGTTAGGGGGGAAAGTTAGGGTGACGAGAAATTGTACTAGGGAGAGGGAGGGCAGAAGGGAGGGCAGAAGGGAGGGTTGTGAACTTTTTTGTGGTATGTGGTGTGAGAGAGAAGTGCTTATGTGCAAGGGAAGTTAGAAAATAATTGTTTTTAAAAGCCTATTTTTGATATTGGAAAAGAGAAAAAAAAATGTATATGTACGCTGAAGAAATATCCTCCGATAATGTAAACGCCAAACAAAGCGTTTAAACAAGTATGTCTACTGGACAGTAGTTTTATTATTTAGTAAAAGAATATAAAGGTTATATAAATTCGTTTAAATAATCGCCTTGTTTATTTCTTTAGACTAAATAATTAAAGATCCTTAACACAGAGAACATCCACGTTTTCCATCAGAACAGAAATCATCATTACAGGTAGAAACTCTGGTGTTGAACCGCCATCCTCAACTTTAGGAACCTGAGAGTTAAGAAAGTGACATGGTGACACACTTCACCTTGTAATAATGTTGGTAGAATTACCGACAGTATGTAAAGTAAAAGGACACAAGTGCAACAATGTGACATTTTCTTGTGGCAACGTTTCGCTCTCCAGGAGCTTTGTCAAGCCGTAACGGCTTGACAAAGCTCCTGGAGAGATCTTGAAATGAAAATCTTGACCTTAAACATTTATAGCCTTTAACTATCCATGCTTTTCGAATATCCTTATACTTGGAACTTCCATAACCTTGAAACAACTTTGATATCCTGGCCTTCGAACATCTACGGATAATCCTTAGAAAATTCTTGAAACATTATGAAATATTTGAATCAATGGAGTTTTCTCAATTTTGGTACAATCTTGTAACATCTTTCTCCTTGGAAATTCGATGGTCATAAGACATCATTAGAATATGTGTTCAGAATATTCTTAAGTTCCAAACATCAATATCATTTTAATATCTTCGACTGTGAATATTCTCAAACTATCATTGACCGTGAATTTGATTTTAAATTCAGAATATCATTGGATCATGTTTACCCTTTGGAATATTGCTCTTCTTGAAACATCCTTGATCATGAAACACCATCGTCCAAGACACATCCTTGATCATGTAACACCCTTGTCCAAAACACATCCTTGATCATGAAACATCCTTGTCCAAAACACATCCTTGATAATGAAACACCCTTGTCCATGACACATCCTTGATCATGAAGCACCCTTGTCCAAGACACATCCTTGATAATGAAACACCCTTGTCTAAGGCACATCCTTGATCATGAAACATCCTTGTCCATGACACATCCTTGATCAGTGATGGCAATGGCATAGCCAGGGTCCTGTATTCTTGCTGAGTCACTGAGGTTGTCTGGAAGAATTTGTTTTATTAACTCATTTGGTGCTACGGAAGAGGATAGGAAAGCGGTAGGGCAATCTGGGAGGATTTGTATACTCCCAGCCCCCGAAGACTGACTGGAACTGTGGCTTGCAACCACTGTCCATCTTCAAGGGAAAGATTCAATACACTCTCTAGCATGGTCTTAAGAAGAGAGTCATATTCCTTGAGTTTCGGACTGCTGAAGGCCTGAGAGCAAATCAGGAACTAGGTACGTTTTTGGATTGACAGGCACCTGGTGAGTAGGTAGAAGACATCATGTGTATCGATATCGCTCATCCTGCCTTCCAACATCCTGAGGTCTGAGATTTTTTTTTTCTAGGATCAGATTGATGGCACTTGGTCCAAGATGAGCACCAAGGAGAGTGCTATTGGCTGGATCAATGGCTCGTGCTCCTGGTAAAACAGCACTAATATCCTGGATCATCTGTCGAGTGGCAGAAACTATTTCATATTTTGTGGGGTTTAAAAATAGACCCAGGCTCTCTCCCATGTCTTGAATTTTTCTGATGTCCTCTAGGAGAGATTCCGTAGTGCCAGCTAGGCTACCGTCATGCAAGAACCAGATATTGTGTTCACTAGAGAGCGCTTTTGTGACTTCCTTGATGACCAGACAGAATAGAAAGGGGGCAAGAGGGTCTCCCTGTTGCACACCCACACATGAGTCAATTTCATGGTCCCCAAACAATAGTTTAGAAGTCACACTATAACACGATTCAATGAAGAAAGAGATCGAAGGGAAGTGTCTAGAAACTGCTTGGAGAGCAGCATCCCTTATGACTAAGTTGAAAGCGTTGGCAAAGTCCAATTTGATCAATGCTTTTTCATCGGACATGTTGATGTATACTCGTGCTGTGTGGGCAGCTGCTTCACAGCCTTGCTGAACACCAAAACCGAACTGAATTGGTTTCAACGCTGAGGCAGCCTCTTGACTCACCATTCTTACTGTAGCCTTGGCAACTAGGCACCGAAGGGTGTTGCCTACTGCAACGGCTTGATTCCTCCATCCCTATTCCGGAGGGCATACAATGAGGCACCAAAGAAAATGGGTCTAATGGATTCTGGGACACTGCCAGCCAGGCACACATTAAAAAAATTGTTGAGTTTATGCAGCAACCTCTCTGAAACATCACCAAGTGCTGAATTGAGCATTTGTTTTAAGTGTTGTGGCCTTAAACCTGTAAAACTTCCTGCTGAGCCCTGTGGAAATGATAGAGCAGCTTTATACACATCAGGGAGGTCAGTGTTGGTACTGGGAGCCCTGAGTGGATGTTTGTCCTTCAGGGCTTGTGCCATACTGACGTCCTTAGTAGCGATGGTATCCTCACTGTTTATAAGTCTCAGTGCTCCAGTACTATTACCCTCTTCTATTTTTGTGCTAATTTGGGCTCTGATTTTTGAGGCGACAGGTGTCCTCTTGTTGGAATTTGCCCGGCGGGTGTTTGTCACCCTAGGGAGGAGACGGACGAGGTTGTCATCTCTAGGGAATGCATTTATTTCCCTAATAACAGATGTTGCTAGGGACTTGTCCCTCCTTGGTGGGACAACCAAACAGGCATTGCCAAATAGCAGCAGGTTGTGCCAGGATCCGTTGTTTTCAGGAGCATCGTTGACTTTCATCAAGAGGTCAGTGAATTTGCTAGCACCTTGAGGGCGACCTTTCTGCTGGGAGGGGCTGTTGGTTGTTCCCATTTGGAGCTCTCCTGGAGCCTAGACATCCTTTGTGTGCGCGGATGTTGCCAATTGAGGGATTGAGTGTACAATCCTTGTGGCACACCTGGCAGATGCATCGTGAACGGATTTCACAGCGTTGGCTCGGTCGTGGAGATTCCTGGGAACCTGACACTTCTTGTGACAATGCTGACATCGTTGGGGTGGGAGGGCACCAGCTGCGGGGTAACGGGTAAAGGACAGCATGGATGCATGGGTGTTGAGGGTGGGGGAGTAGGGAGCGGCAGAGCGAGTAATTGGTGGGGCACTAAACGGCAACACCCTTGGTCAGGAAGTCAGTAGACCTAGGCTGGGATGTGGAGAGGGGACCAGGGATGGGGAGACCAAGCGAGTGGCCATATCTGTTCACTAAAGATGCACATCACTGACTAACTTTTGCTAATTGTTATACACTTGTTATTATGTGATGAATGGTTTTGAAAACCGACAAGTTGAAGATTGAGACACTTATGCAACATATGGGAATCTTTACTGAGGAAACGTTTCTCCACACAGTGGTACCACTATGACCTCGCCTCCTCCTGCTTCGCCTCACCTGACTACAGTATATAAGCCACGTCTACGGGCCTATGCTGCACGTTCTACAAGATTGATGGACTGAACACATCGACTCGAGGCTGAGGGACTGATTACCTCAAACTCCTCTTCTCCTTACACTTTTCTATTTTGTATTGGACTGATGAAGCCACTGTGTGGCGAAACGTTTCCTCAATAAAGATTCCCATACGTTGCATAAGTGTCTCAATCTTCAACTTATTATTATATCCATGTTCACCATGATCTCACTGTTAATCGAGGTGCTCTTTTGCAGCATCCAGTGCCAGGATCCGCTGTTTGTAGGAGCATATATACATATATATATATATATATATATATATATATATATATATATATATATATATATATATATATATATGGGATGTGATGATGAGGGTAGTCTTGACCCTTTATATGCCTTCCTTTGATGTTTTGTATATATGTGTGTATATATATATATATATATATATATATATATATATATATATATATATATATATAAATAATATATAATATATAATAATATATATAGTATATAATAATATCCTTTTAGTCTCAGTAATGAGAAAATAAATTACAGAAAAACATACGGCTAGGAACTGTAAATTCGAAGCTGGAAAGAGAACGGCTGAGATTAACCCTCATCATTCATGGGACCACGAACTGGCTAACGCTGATCTCGAGAGATCTAACCTTGGAGTGATAATGATTCATTGTCGTCGGCTCTTACTATTCCTATTGTCCACTTCACAGGGATGATAATGTTGACACGATAAAGACTTATCTTCACGAAAATTTATTTCCTTTCAGCTAAATTGAAGCTTGAAACTTATGCAGTGAGGTTAGTCATCAATACGACTTTTTATATTATCTGATTTGAACTCCAGTTTCCAGCTGTCAAAAATTTATATGGTGGTCAGACAGTTGTGGACCTACATTTTTGGGCCCTGAAGCTTAAACTGTTAAGGAAACCTCTTTCCAACCAGCAACGACTAGCCTACATGATACTTTAATAACCTATTAATTTTTG